CTCTATCAAAAATATACATAAACTGTTGATGGCACAGTGGAAATGTTGTCAGTGACAGGCTTATACCACTGCTGCCTATGTCTGTCTAGTAGCTCTCTCCTCTCTTTATTGCAGATTCAGAACAAGCTGAACAAGGCTTTGGATGACATGTCTGCTAGTATGTGCACTCTGAAGAACGGGATGAGCTACACTAAACAGCTGCCTTCTAAAGGTCTCTCTCAGAGCCAAGTGCTGGACAAAATCAAAGAGTACAAGACTCTGAGTAAGTCATGATTCATTCCTGAGTGTTGCCTCATAGTTTATTTTAACTGGTGACTTTCTGAGCGTATTTCTAACCTGTTGTTCTACCACTTCATGAGGAGTATATTTTGCATTCCACTATTAAGGTTACTAATGAGAACAAGTGATCTCTAATGAGATGATGTGCTGTTACAGATGAGGTGCAGTGGGAGAAAGGCTGTGTTTTGGGTATAGTGTACTGGGGTGATAAAACACTGACCAAACTCTTGGTGGAGGTATGTACATTTGAATCAACTCCTGTTCGTTCCCTTAAGTGACAGTACTACCGGCCTAGTTTTTGTGTGATATCTGGAGTTTATGCAAATCTTGGTATCTTTTGTCTTTTTCTAGGTATATGGAGACTTTGCATGGAGTAACCCCCTTCACCCAGATATCTTTCCTGGTGTAAGAAAGATGGAGGCAGAGATTGTTCGAATGACTTGCACACTTTTCCACGGAGGAGCTAACTCCTGTGGCACAGTGAGTCCCCCGTCTAGTATGTGCTCATAAAGTGTATGAACGTACTTTGAAGCATCTTTGCTTCCACTTTGTCTAGGTTACCTCAGGAGGAACTGAGAGCATACTGATGGCCTGCAAGGCATACAGAGACATGGCGTATGAACGAGGTGTCAAATTCCCAGAAATGTAAGTCAAGCTTTATAAGCCCATGTCAAGGTTTCTTCTTTACAATGTTTGCTAGAGAAAGTTGTAATGATGTTATTTTTTTGTTCTGACACCTGCAGTCTTGCACCTGTGAGTGTCCATGTAGCTTTTGACAAAGCAGCACATTACTTTGGAATGAAACTTGTTCACATTCCTCTTGATAAGAGAACTATGAAAGTAGACGTGAAGGTAGGAACACAGTATACACAGAGAGCGGGTGCTGATTGACTGTTATTCTTAGATATTGGTTATCCTCATGTTGTTTCTTCCCTTTCAAGGCTATGAAGAGAGCCATCAGCAAGAACACAGCAATGCTCGTGTGCTCAGCGCCTCAGTTTCCTTATGGAATCATTGATCCCATTGAAGAAGTAGCTAAGGTCAGGAGAAGTAGTGAGACTTTTTCCCACCGAATAGATTCTGGGATGAAAACCGAGAAGTCAAATCTCTGACACTTTCCCCTCGGTGTGTTCCAGCTGGCTGTACGCTACAACCTCCCACTGCATGTAGATGCCTGTCTGGGGGGTTTCCTCATTGTCTTCATGGACAAGGCTGGTTACCCACTTGCCCCATTCGACTTCCGGGTAAAGGGTGTCACCAGCATCTCTGCAGACACCCACAAGGTAAGGAGTGGCTGTTTATCCCCTTCAGTTCGACACATCTTTTAAACTTAGTGACTTACATTTTCTTGTTTTAAAATCTAATAAATCCTATCCAATTTAAAGACCCGTGTTTAATGTTAACTGGTTTCAGACCATATGTTCATTGTTATTTTAATACTTCACTGTGTTTGTCACATTCCTCTCCAGTATGGCTATGCTCCCAAAGGTTCCTCAGTGATACTCTACAGTGATAAAAAGTACCGGCAATACCAGTACTTTGTAGCTCCAGACTGGCAGGGAGGAATCTACGCCTCTCCCTCTGTAGCAGGCTCCAGGCCAGGAGGAATCATCGCTGCCTGCTGGGCGAGCATGGTTTACATAGGAGAGAACGGATATGTAGATGCCACCAGGAAGATCATCAGCACAACACGGAAAATCAAAACGGAGTAAACAATTCAGATTATGGCTACAATAGTCATTATGTGATAACTAACAATACCAGGACACTAACCATTATATACCATTATATATCTTTTTTCTTATGGACAGAATCCAGAAGATTGAGGGAGTGTTTGTGTTTGGAGATCCAGAGGTGTCAGTGGTGGCGATAGGCTCTGACGTCTTTGACATTTTCCGTCTGTCTAATGCACTGATGTCGAAGGGCTGGAATCTGAACCACCAGCAGTTCCCGTCCAGGTATATAGAAAACAAATAATAGTAATTTGACAGATTTAACAGTAAGTTGACTGTATGATCTCCTCTTTCACAGCATCCACATTTGCTGCACAGTTCTGCACACCCAGCCAGGCGTGGCTGATCAGTTTATACGTGATGTCAGAGAGCA